ACTACACTCATCCTTCAGGGTGAGTGTAGGTGTAAATAGTAGATCTCTAAGGAGCTCTGGTAGCGTAGTGGAGAAAGATGAGGCTTTCTACTCCCGTAAAGATTTACACCCTCGGAAACCCTGTACAGGGTCGCTATGGGTCGGACCCGACTCGATGGCACTCAACAACAACAACAACAAAGGTCTATACCTAGGAGTGTAGGTGTTGGGTCACATGATAGCTTTACTGTTGGCTTCTGAGGAACTGCCAGTCTGCTTTCCACACAGCTGCACCATTTTGCTTTCCAGTAATGGATGAGGGTTTTTATTTCTCCACAAACACTCCAACACTTATTTTCTTTCTTTAAAAATGTGTTATTATTAATGTCTCATTGTTATTGCTGTTAAGTACCATCAAGTTGGTTCCAACTCATAACGACCCTGTATCCGGTTTCTGAGGAGCTGCTGGTAAGTTTGAACCACCAACCTTGCTGTTCAAACCTACCTTGGGATTGAGTACTTATCCTATAGTGCCACACCAGTACTCTTACCCACTGAAAAACCAACTGCCATCACTTTGTAGCAACCCTATAGTACAGAACAGAACTGTGCCTTAAGGTGTCCAGACTGAAAATCTTTAACGGGAGTACACAGCCTCACCTGGAATTTTGTTATGGTTTTGACTGGCATTAATCTGATGCCTAATGATTTGAGCAACATTTCAGGTGGCTGTTGGCCATTTGGGTATCCTTTTTTGTGTGAACTGTCTATTCATATACTTTGCCCAGTTATAGAATGACTTATTTGTCTTTTGGTTGTTAAGTTGTAGAAGTTTTCTATGTATTTTGTTATTAGACACATCTATTGTTGTTATTGAGTTCTGTCTAGTCGGTTCCGACCCATAGGGACCCTGTACTGGGTTTCTGAGGAGCAGTTGGTGAGCTTGAACCACCGACCTTGTCATTCAAGTGACTTTGCAGTCCGGTGAATTAACCCACAGCGCCTCAGTTATTAGACCCTTGTCAATTATTTTTTTCTGTAACTTATTGTGAATTGAATAAAGGCTTACAGAACAGATCAGCCGTTTTACATTCAATAAATCGTATACTTTATTTCATCTTAGTGATTGCGATCCCCTCTGTATAGCCTCCTTTTGGTTCTTATTTCCATTCTACCCCCTTCCTTGTTGTTGTTGTTGTGTGCTGTGGAGTCGGTTCCGCTTCCTAGCCCTTCTGAATTTGGCCATTAATTTTAATGTTGTCCTCTTGATCTTGATTTGTTGACCTTTCCATGGTAAGCATACCTTACTGGGGTTGTTGTCCCCTCTACATGTCTGTCTACTGCTTGGCTGAAAATTGAGCCATGAGGGTGAGTCCAGATGCAGACATGAAAGGTGGCCAAGGGCCATAGTCTCAAACTCCTCCAGTCTCTTTCAAGCCAGTAAGTCCTGTCTTTTTTAAAATTTTGCATTTTGTCCCACATTTTCTCCCATCCTATCCAGGACCTTGTAATTAGCTGATAGTGGGAGCCAGGCACCACACCATGTAGTTCTTCTGGTCTCAGGGTCATGGACACTGATGTGCTTGTGTTCTAATTAATTCATGAACTAATTGATTTCAAGCTTCTTCTATTTTCATCACTCTTTTTTCTAATGTACATGGAGAGACCAATCATTGCACCTTAAATGGCAACTCAGGAGTTTCTAAGATCCCTATTCGTACTCACCAAAGTAGAGTCTAGAACATTGCCATTGGACACTATGTTATGCCACTTGACTATGGAGTCCCCTGAGACTATGGACTCAGGACCATAACAACACATTCCCTCAAGGTATTTGGTGTAGCTCTATAGAATATGCACTCCTGGTGTGGCGCTGTAGAATACAAACTGGACTGTGAACTACAAGGTCGGCAATTCAAACCCACCAGCTGTTCTTTAGAAACTCTATACAGGGTTGCTATGAGATAAAACTGACTCAGAGGCACTTAACAACAACAACAAGTTTTTGTTTGTGTGCCCTCTGTATGTTTCACGGCTTTCATAGATGTGTTCACAGCAAAGGTGTATACCCACGTACAAGCATCTGCTGTCAAGCATTTATATATTTGTGGATATATTCCCACTCTCTGTGCCATACCCATTCAACCTCTCTGTCTGTCCATGTATCCACCCATAGAACGTTGTTATTGTCAGGTTGTGTATATTGCACAACCTCTATTCCCTTTAACTCTTGCATTCCTCCCTGTGTTTATCAAATATTATTTGTCAACTATCACTATCAATTCGAAACTACCAGCTGCACCGCGGGAGAAAGATGAGGCTTTCTACTCCCGTAAAGATTTACACCCTCGGAAACCCTATACAGGGTCGCTATGGGTCGGAACCGACTCGATGGCACATAACAACAACAACAAATCACTATCAAAGATTTTTCCCAGTCTGTATGTTGTCTCGTCACTTTTTCTGTAAAGTCTTTTGATGAACAACATATTGAACATTTATGAGGTCCTATTTTGTTTTCTGTTGCTTGCTTATTTGTTGATGTTTTGACAAATTATTATTGAAAAAAAACAACAAACTAAATTTCACAGATTTGTTCCTATATTTTCTCCCAATAACATTGTTTTAGAATTAACATTTAGTGCCATAATCCATATTTAATGAGTTATAGAGTATGGATCTTGTTTCATTTTTCTAAATGTAGAAATCCAGTTTTGCCAGGATCATTTGTTAAAGATACGGTTCCTTCTCCATTGGCACCCTTGTCAAAAGCAATAAACCATAGATGTTAGAGTTTATTTCTCGGATTTTCACATACTCTATTGGTCTCTGTGTCTACCATTTTTAATCACATATTTTAATTACTGTAGCAGTGAACTATGTTTTGAAATCAGAAAGTGTGAAGCCTTCTACTTTAAAATTGCTTTGGCTATTTGGGGTTTGGCTATTTGGGGTTTCTTGAGTTTCCATATAAAGTTGAAATTTTGATCAGGACTGTATTGTAACTATAGATCACTTTGGATATACATTATTGTCTTTTAAAAAATCCTGAATTATTGTAAAATAAAATTTCAGATAGTCAGGAAAAGAGAATTATCAGACCAATAAACCAGGTAACAGTGTTATTCCCATCTGTAGATCTTGTATGAATAAGAATCAAGTTCATGTGTATAAATGGCAGGAGAAAGGCAGAGAGAAAGAGAGAGAATGACAGTTTGTATTATATGAGTATGTAAAATTTCTTACTTAGTAATTAATACAAAATGGTGTGATAAAATACTTCCAGATTCCTTTTATAGTCCAAATGACTTCTAAAAATTCTGGACATCTTAATTTGAAAATAAAGTTATATTAAAAGTTAGAATTTCATATTTCAAATTCTAGTGGAGTTTATATTTGAATTATCTCTATAAGGAGTCCTGGAGTTCAGGTATGGTGCTGTGGGTTAATGTGTCAGACTGCAAAGTCAATTGAACTGCAAAGTTGGTGGTTCAAGCTCACCAGCTGCTCCTTGGAAACTCTATACAGGGTTGCTGTGGGTCAGAATCGACTCTACAGCACTTAACAACAAAAATGTAAGGAGTCCTAGTGTTGCACTGTGGATTAATGTGCTGCACTGCAAGGTTGATTTGAACTGCAAGTTTAGTGGTTCAAGTTCACCAGCCACTCCTCAGAAATCCTCTACAGGCTTGCTATCAGTCACAACAGACTCAATGGAACTTAACAACAATATGGATCACCATGGCAGCGTTTAGCTGCAGAATTCTTTCTCCTGCTATTATTCTTTTAGATTCTTTTCCTGATATTCACTAGGGTAGGCTAAGATGTATTGAATTCAGAGTAAAAATATGTATTAAAGGTTTTGTATCTTGGTATATGGAGTTTCCTCAATGCTGTGCTCCTTCTATATCACAGATAAGCAAAAGTTGACCCTATTAACACTAATGGATTGATGGTTATTAGTACCAAATTATGCATATGATATATCTTTTCTCTGCATTTTGCCACCTTAAAATACACCAGTGTTCAGTAAAAGGCCATGCATGGGCCTAGAAAATGTCTGTGACATTTATGTGTCATTTACAATTCACCAATTTCTCCTGCTTATCTCATATTTCATGTACTAGTGTTAGTGATCTGGTGGAACACCAAAGCCTTTCTTAAGACTTCTTAGCATTGTGTCCATGTCTGCTTGTATTGTCATTTAGAGCTACTTAACAATCTCTCAGTTTCACTGCAGGAATCATTTGCTTTGAAGCGAGAAACACCCTGGTTCTCGAGAAGTTAAACTTTACAAAATCACTGTGGCAAGAGTATTTATTTCTAACTTGATTCCAGATCTTACTTCTCCAAATAGATGCTTTGTGTAGAACACTGAAAAAGCTTGTGCTGACCATCAGTGTGAGCTCTTGTGGACATACATTATGAAAAACTGACATGAAATACACAAAATAGATGGGCAAGAAAGCATTTCCAAGTGTCCTTTTCTGTGGAAGGGATGACCCACTGCAGTAAATATGTATGTGAGTTATGTTAGAATGTATCTTTTATTCTCATTTAACATTTTAAAAAAGTAATAGTGAAGATACACTCATTATGCAAAATCCAAAGTTCATTGCTTTTATTTAAAAATACCTTTGCTAAATTGGAAAAATAATTTACATCGCTGGCAGTAAGTTTAAACACCAATCTTGACAACTTTTAATAATGAAGAAAACTCACTAGAATATCTGTAGTGTGGGTCTTTTTTTCTATTTTTTCATTAAAAGAAATACAGATATCCATCCATATGTGGTTGACATTTACACGCCCTGCCCAACATGGCATTATCGGCCATTAAGAGATACAATCAAGTTGGATAGATATTTCTTGAAATGATGCATGGTATGCAGTGCATGCTTTCATTGTGCTTCCTGCCATTATGGAATAATGCGTCTTAATTGGAAAGACAATGATCATTTCTGTTAAATCACATTCAGCCAACGTGTATGATAACACTGGTATTTTGTGAATCCTTTCAGATTTCAGAGAGCTATGCCTTCCTACCAAGAGAAGCGGTGACACGGTTTCTAATGAGCTGCTCCGAGTGCCAGAAAAGAATGCACTTAAACCCAGATGGAAGCGATCATAAAGGTAGCTGCAGTATCAAATAGTGAGACTTCAAGTGGTTTTATTCATAAAGCCAATTTGCACCTCATAATTTTCTCAAAACAGGGGATAGACTGAAGCATTTCAACAAGTCAGACCATCTCATTTATTCCAGTAGGAGGCAGTGCATTTTGAATATCCACTTTTACAAAGTGATTCAGAAGAAAGAGAGTTTCAAGGGTGGCAACTAGATTTTTTTCCCCTAAAATAATGTTTGACTTTTCATTTACTGTATGTGTACTTTGTATATAGTCTCTAAGGAAACCGATGTTCTTTTAATGCCCTTTTGAATTCCCCGATTCCTTATTTCTTCAAATAGTGGATAACATGGAGTGCAATTAAGAAAATGTTTACTTAAAAATTATGATTTAGCTTTTATGAACAGCTACCTGGTTTTGCTACTCCATTAGTTTATTTTTGGGATTACATTAAGTTCTAAGGTGCAGTTAGCCTGGTCCAGTCCCACGTATTAGAGTAAGTTAGGTGGTTCCCCCCACCCTTTTAACAAATAAATAAATAAATAAATAAAATAAGCAGATTTCTTTTTGTACTCTGGAGGTGTATGTATGTAGAATGCAATTCTGCAGCAAAGGAGAAAACTAATTGTGTTTAATCACTGCACTATCATTATTCATTGTTACAGAAGATATTAGATCGCTCTCTAGTAGGTATAAATAATTAATTTATCCACAGTACTAATTTGTCTCAATATGTCTTTGTAGAACCTTACCAATTATTATTTTGTACAATCCATCTACAAAGCTACCAACACTTGAGGACATGGCTATAGAACCCTATTTCAATCTGGACACATTGCATCAATCTGAAATTGCAGGTAGAACATAGTTTCGTTTTCATTACCCATAAAAAATGTTTCGTTGCAGATAATGGAAAGCCTCCCACTTTGGTGACCAGCATGATTGACTACAACATGCCAATTACCATGGCCTATATGAAGCATATGAAACTGCAGCTACTAAACTCACAGCAAGATGAGGTAACATGAAAGTATCTATGTTCATACCACTCATGCATCAGAATGAAGTTTGAATACCATGACTATTGTATTAATCATGATGACAATTTGAAAGCTGTGATTTGTTTTTGAATAAAGAATGTCTCCAGGATTGCCCAGATGGAGGACACTAGTAGAGACTTTTAGTCCTGGATGGAGAGCAATTGTCTTAACATACCTCTTCCTTAGTTCCACCTGGGAGTGTTGCCACTCCCCAAAAGAACAATGTTCCTTTCCTATTGAGCTTGTATTACTGTTTGTTGTTGTTGTTGTTAAGTGCTGTCGAGTCGGTTACTGTAATTGTATAAATTTAAGGGGAAAGCAAAATCAGTAAATACTCCAAGTAAGTGATTATTCACGGAAATGTAAAACTAAGGCTCCCTTGCCTGAAAATCAGAAGTCAATTAAATAGGTCAAATACAATCATTTCTCCACCATCCAAATCTTGCATATATTTTTAAGTTATTTTCAGCTAGTCACTATTTATTTGTCTGTTTTTCTGAATTTACTAGAGACCATGTGTGGTGATTATTCTTAATTAGAGGTGTTTTGATGTTACAAACTATTGTATTTACGAAAATATAGCCATGTGCTGGCAAATATCAGGTAGTGAATGTACGTTTTTTAACACTTTTCTCTAGTCTTCTAGTTTTTTTCCCACACTTTTGTTAGAATATCTCAAAGGCAGAGGATAACCTATATGAATATACGTGCTCTTTTACCCACATTGGACTCCTGGTGTGGTGCTGTAGGATTGGCACTGGACTGTGAACCACAAGGTTGGCAGTTCAAACCCACCAGCTGCTCCTTGGAAATCCTAAACAGTGTCACTAAGTGTCAGAATCCACTCGATGGCAGTAAACAAAAGCAGTAATTACCCACATTCGTCGTTTTATATTTCAAAGTAAATTTGGAAAATAATTCTTATCATTACATTTTAAGAATAATAAATTGGATGGTGTGGTGCTGGAGGGTAAATACTGGACTGCTAACCATAAGGTTAGTGGTTCAAACCCACAAGCTGCTCCTCAGAAATCCTATAAAGGATCGCTGTTCTGACCCATAATGACCTTTTACAGAGTTTCCACAGAGCAGCTGGTAAGCTTGAACTTCCAACCCTGAAGTTCAAATGGCTTTGCAGTCTGGCACATTAACCCACAGCGCCACACCAGGACTAGTACATCCTTTTTAACTTAGGTGGTGGTGGTTCTGTGCCGTGGAGTCAGTTCCACTCATAGCGGCCCTGTACAGGGTTTCAGAGGCTGTAAATCTAAGAGCAGAAAGCCTCATTTTTCTCCCGTGGATCAGCTGGTAGTTTCAAACTGCTGACCTTGCATCTCGCAGCCTGATTCATAACCACTATGCTACTTTTTAACTAGTGATAGTCATTAAATACAAGAAACATTCAGTTTACGTATATTCAAAGTAGTTCTGAGATTCAACCTAATGTCAGTGGACTGTTAAGTATAAATGATTAAATAAGGAATCATGCAATAAACACACTGAAGACACAGAGACTATTATGAACATACTAAAGCTCTGATAGCACAGTGGGTTAAACATAGGCCTGCTCAATTCAAGGTTGGTGGATCAAACCCTACAGCTCCTCCATGGGAGAAAATGAGGCTGTTTGCTCCTGTGAACATTTACTGTCTCAGAAAACCTACGGAGCAGTCCTCATCTGTCCTGTAGGATTGTTGTGAGTGAAAATCTACTTGGTGATGGGGAGTGAGTGATGGTGTGAATTCCTGAGATGGGCCCCTAACTAAAGATTGACAGTTTGAACCCACCCAGCAGCATCACAGAAGAAAGGTCTGGTGATCCTTAAAACCCTATGCAATAGTTCTGCTTTGTAACACGTGGGTTTGCCATGAGTCAGAACCAATACAACAGCAATAAAACACCATTTTATAAGCTAGTTATACACCACCCCACTGCCATCGAGTCAACTCTGACTTATAGGGACCCTCTATAGGGTTCCTATGACTGTACATCTTTCTCCCACAAAGTCACTGGTGGGTTTGAACTGCTAACCTTGTGGTTAGCCATCCAGTGCTGATCTTAGCGTGCCACCAGGGCTCCTTTATAACCCAGTTCGACCTGTAGGTTAGATGTAAATATGTTTCTTTCTAGGTGCAAAAGTTAGATTCACCTTGTGCTAATAACAATACAGCCTAAATAAGTAGAATCCTTCTGCTTTCTAAAAAAATAATTTAAGCAATTCTCACACATACACAGAAACTGATTCTTTTAAATGTATAACTAGATTAGGACAATAATTCTTATTCTTACATTTTACAAATAATAAATTGGTTGATGTGCCATGTAAGATAAACTCTGGACCGCTAACCACAAGGCTGGTGGTTCAACCCACCAGCCACTCCTTGTAAACCCTGTACAGCGTTGCTATGTGTCAGAATGAACTCAAAGGCAGCTAACAACAACAATGCAATTCCAAAACCAAACCTACTACCATCAAGTCGTTCTGACTCATAGTGACCCTAAATAAGGCTTCTGAGACTGTAAAATCTTCATGAGAAGCTCATCTTTCTTGAGGAGTGGTTGGTGGGTTTGAACTGCAGTTAGCAATTCGGTGCTTATCCTACAGTACCACCAGGGTTCCTTGAAGTCATTCAGACAAATGATTAGTTATATTATTTGTACAATTTTAGAAATTATGATTATTGAAAGAAAGGAAGGAGGTAAATTAAGGTAAGTCACATTAAAAGGGAATTCATGTGAGATATTAATTTGAAATGAATTATATTTAAATTTTAACAACCATTAATCCAATAGATATTTATGGAATAATTTCTGTGCTCCAGGCATTCTTGAAATACCGAGGATGACGAATAAGTGGATAAAAAAAATGAAAAAATTGACAAAAATGCTGCCTTCATGTGGTTTATCTTCTAGTGGTAGGAGGACAGACAATAAAGTAAATAAATTATCTATATACTAGGATGCTAAATGCAATTAAGAGAAATAAAAAAAAGTGGGGAATAAAAATCCCTTTAGGACTGGGGATCTCAAAGTTTAATATCTGGCCTGGAAAGGTATCATTTTAGCAGAATTGAAGGGAATGAGGTGGCAAGCTGCGTGCCTATCAGGGGGACATAATGCAAAAGTCTCTGAGGCTGGATCATGCACTGCAGGCTGTAGGAACAGTAGAGAAATCAACGTGGTTGGAACGCAGTGAACAGTCATTCCTGACTGGAGAGGTGTTTGAAAGGATGCAACGCCAGGTCACCTAGGGCTTCATAGGCCAGTATCAGAACCCCCTCTCTTTCACTTCAGCAGGGAAACCATGTGATCTGATTTTTTTTTTTTTTTTTTAGTAGACTCATGCAGGCTGCTCTGTTGAGAATAGACTGACTAGAAGGGGAAAATTGGATGCAAGGAGACCAGTAGGAAGTTATTACAGTAATCAGTTTGGCTGAACAGTTAACAAAACCCTACACTCTATCTGCAAGAGAATTTGACTTTCATTTAACTTTCTAGCTTTGTTTGCCAGTTAACCAGAGGCAACTGAATTATGGCTGTGATAGTAGGGAACATTGTTTTCAGCAATGATCCCCATTGGGAATCTGTAAACTCCTAGCCAAAAGGTTGGCGGGTCTGACCAACTTAGAGCGGCCTCTGAAGACAGGCCTGGTGATATGCCTCTAAAAGGTCACAGCGTTGTGAACTTCTCTGCACACTTGGGATCACCACGAGTAGGAATTTTCTTGATGACAACTAACAACAACACCAAAAGAAGTTTTGTTGTTGTTGAATGCCACTGAGTTGATTCTGACTCATACCCACACTGTTTAGGATTTCCTAGGAGGAGCTAGTAGATTGGAACCTCTGATGGCTTTAAATGCTACAGACTGTGATGCCTAACTTTAATTATGAGCTGAGCTGCTAATCGCAAGGTCAGGAGATCGAATCTAGTGCTTCTACATTGCCACACTAGGAGTCCATAAGAATCTTTGTTGTTGTTGTTAAGTGCTGTTGAGTCGGTTCTCACCCATAGCAACCTTGTATAGAGTTTTCAAGGAGCAGCTGGTGAGCTTGAACTGCTGACCTTGCAGTTCAAAGGCTTTGCAGTCTGGTGCATTAACCCACTGCTCCACACCTGTTGTTGTTGTTGTTATGTGCCGTGGAATCGGTTCCGACTCAGCAACTCTGCATAGGGTTTCTGAGGCTGTAAATCTTTACGGGAACAGAAAGCCTCATCTTTCTTCCGTGGAACAGCGGGTAGTTTTGAACTGCTGACAGTGAGATTAGCAGCCCTACTCATAACCACTACGCTACCAGAGATCCCAAATTTCCCTAAATCTGATAATTCTTGTAAGTGGCATGCTGCCCCTTGTGGAGACTTTAGACACATTAACTGTGGAGTATTATGCGATAGTGTAGTGATTATGAATTGGGCTGTGAACTGCAAGGTCAGCAGTTCAAAACTACCAGCTGTTCCTTTGGAGAAAGATGAGGCTTTCTGCTCCCGTAAAGATTTACAGTCTCAGAAACCCTGTAGAGGGTTGTTATGAGTCAGAACCGACTCCACGGCACATAACAACAACAATTATTAGATAGTGTCTATTTTGATGCTGGGATTTCCTTGTTAGATTCCCAACTTACCCAATGTGGTTATTGTTTTCTCATATTCAAGCCACCACAGAGGAACTTAAAAACAATATCTGGTTGACCATGTGACTACTACAAGAGCTTCCTTAGAAGACAAACACTGAAGGTGCCCTGCTGGCCAGCTCTTTCCTTTACTGTATCTTTCTAATGAATCTCAGGCTCAGATTGCCCTAAGGTAGTCTCAAGAATATGCATTTTGATTGGAACTAACAAGAGCCCCTAATGGCTGTTTACAGGTTTCAGGAAGAAGATGATCATAGTTTTGAGTGTAGATAGAGTATGAAGGTAGTGAAATTAGTTCAGATTATAAATATACTATGAGATTTGTTGATAGATTGCACATGGAGTAT